AAACTGGCCTACGTGCCATTTCTATTTTATTATTTTTCGGTCGACCGACAACAACAATTCTTTACACAGTGAGGTTAGATCAAGTCTTTAAACGGAGTTTAAAGCTATAAACGCCCAAAATCGGCCAGCCAGTTCATTTCTTTAAACGCGTTTAAGCACAAACTAAGTTTAAGGTTCTGGTGAAATCCGTTTCGCACGTCAAACTGAGTTTCAGACGTTAAACTGGTTTAAGATCGCTTGATGAAAATGGGCCTAATTTTATTTCAGGTTTTCGTAGCAAGTGCAATTTTTTCATGCTGGACTAATACCACAGCTAATGCTAGATATTTGTTTATTACGATAGAAAGTATCACATTGTAATCACTATTTGCCTAATACTAGGAACCATCAGTATAAAACATTTTCAGTATTTAAATAAATTCCAAGTCAGCGCAACGAGAATAAAGGCAGCAAAGCAAACTGCAGGATAAAATCCAGCTCCCGGAAAACTTTGTTTTTGGGAAGGTTCAAATACTAAGGGTTTCGTTGTAAGGTCAGAAACCACCGGTTTGCTTATGCTGCTCACAAAACTATTAAAATTAAATATTATTTCTATGAGTATCTTGAAAAACAACATTAATAAACTAGACACAAAATAAAACAACAATAGATTAAAGAGACCAGGAAGTCGTCGATGTCATACTATTTCAACTTTTCTGTATTCTGTATCAACTTTACTTCTCTGGGCAGTGTGAAGGAGCAAATCATACTCTTCTAGCGAAACGTCGTCGTTCATACAGTTAATGGAAGTGTTCGATGATGAGCACTAAAAAGAGTTTCACATTGTTACAGAGCATTTTTTTAACGTACCTAGTGAGATTACAGTTTCCGTAGTTGGTTGTGAGATAATCAGTGTTGGTTCATTTTCAAGGAAAAATTCATCGCCATTCGTTGCCGGTTCATGAGCATTGCAGCAAAAGAAGAAAGCTGTTATGATGACGCACATAACAACAAATAAACACACGCTTTTCGTTTGATCTAGAGGAGTTAGAAGATACTTTATCATTTCTTCACTTTTGTACATTATGTTTGACTTCACACCAAATGAGGAAAAGCACGTTTTATCCTCAATTTTTGCCTCTCAGTACGCTTCGGATAATTTGAATGAACTGAATCATAGAACAAGGCTTATTACAAGGCAACAACTGTCTGCATACAAACTGATGCAATATATACGAACATACGAGAACTGAGATAACTGAGATAAGCAAGTTATGACATGTTCGCACTTGGATGAGCGGCCAATTACGCGAAATCAGAGTGTGGGAATGTCACAGAACATACCCCCTTAGGGGGGATATTTTGTGGGGAATGTCTCCTATAAAGTTCGGCAGTTCGTGCCCCAAATGTATCTGCTACACGGTGTGTCAAATGCTTGAAGCAAAATTCCTTTTGAATTGTGGTTCAAACGTTTGTTTACATTCGTCAATATGCAGGATACTGCTGACGCTGCAGTTATAACCGCAGCGGGGCGAGTTTTTAGTTGTGTGAATGGTTTACTCTTTACTTTAACACTATGTATTAATATTTTTACAAACTTCTTTTTGGGTATTTCGCCTCAAAAATTTTTGTCTTTAAAAAAGACAGAATTTC